CGGCTTCCAGATATGGAGATCCCCATGTCCAATACTATATCATACCTTCAGGTTTGATTCTCTCTCAGGGACCGTAGTCTGGCAGAACCAAACGTTGTGATAGGCTGAGATGCGACAGTCACATTGCAGCTTTGCTCCTATCCAGCAGCAGCTGATAGCTGATGTGGCGCAGACACCACAGCGAGATTGCCCAACAAGGGGTTCTCAGCCGCAATGCTTTTATCTTCGCGCCAAGACTCCTTTCGGCCTCGCACAAAGGTTGTAAGGCTGCCTCTTGCTAAGGTCAAGCCTTAGCTAAGACGATGCATCTTCCTCCATGACAGCTTTGTGCCAAATCTAGGGGCTCTCAGTGCTCGTCGCGCATTGCGCATCGCGAGCAGAACGTCTTCTTTAAGCCTTAAGAGGCAAGCGCCCTCTGTTTTCGTGGTTTCAGACGATTGTTGGTTACACAAGCGCGATGGACTCATGGCATCTGATTGAAGAGCACCTTCCCCTCGGAATCAGGAGTCCAAGAGGAGGCGGAGGCAAGTCTGGCGGCTCCGGTTCGTCGTCTTCTGGTTCTTCGGGCGGGAGTAGCAAATCAGGATCTGGCAGCTCGTCATCCGGCGGTTCGTCCTCAAAGTCCGGGTCCGGCTCCTCGTCTTCGAGCGGCGGTACCACTGTTGTCGTAGTCGGCGGCGGCAGCAGCTATAACAACTATCACGGTGGCGGCGGCGGCTATATTGGAAGCCTTCCCACCTGGGCTGTGGTCTTGATCATCTGGTTTTCGCTGCTTCTGACATTGTTTCTCTGCGCTCTGCTATATTACTGTCTAAAAGGTCAGTATCTTGGCAGATGCATCCACATGAACGTGCCTTGCCTTTTAAGCTTGTGTTATATGTGTTAGAGTGGCCCAATTGCCGCGGCTAACCACTTCTACAGAGCGCAAGCGGAGCAGGAAAGAAGGCCACAATCCCCGTATCAAACACGCCTTATGGAACGCAATCAAGGTGGCCTTCTTCATCTGGCTGGCCATAAAAATCTGGCAGTGCTGCTGTGGTAGAAGCCGGCACAAGAAAAACGGTACCAAATCGGGCTCATACGCCAAGATTGACGAAGACGGCCAGCAAGGTGGCGACGCCTGGTACGGCGCCTCGACGGCGCCAGCTGTTGCGGATGCCCCGACCGCCTACGGCGTGGGCGGTACCGGGTATGCTCCTGCCCAGAGCAAGTACGAACCAATGGGGTACACCGGTGCAAGCATCGCAGCAAGCCCGCTAAACAGCCCGGACCCGGGAGCGACAGGCAGTACAATTGCTACTCATCCTGCATCTGGGACGCCCGCAGCGCCGCCTCCATACAGTGGCAGCACAACGGCGATTACACCTACACTGACAAGCCCGTATGCAGCGGCCACCTCCACGGGCGGGGAGGCGCAGAGCTATTTCGCCTCTATGGGGATGTCCGCCGCATATGCCCCTTCGGTGTCTTCCACCTACGAGCCCTCGGTACTGTCATCAGCGCCCACACCGGTGCCGGCCTACCAGGCCGCTTATCATCCTCCGGCATCTCCGGCGCCGACAGAGTATCCGGCGTATCCGCCACAAGCGACATATGTTCCGCAGTCATCACCGGGACCAAGGTATGGCGGTTCATGAGAAGATGTGAACAATTGTGATTTATGTTTATCCGCTTCCCTGTTTATAATGAAATTGCGGAGGTTTTTCGATGGCGTCCGAGAGATACTGTACCGATAGAAGTTGCGGAGTGCTTTCGATATGTGGGAGTTATATATACCCGGAATGAACGACTCTTTATGACATGGTGTGTCAATCTCCTCGTATATTCATGTCTATATGTTCTATCATGTCTAAGATGCATGGTCGTCGTGATCTCATCCCCAGGACGCCGACTCTACGACAGCTTCCCAATCGGATACGCAGCGTTAATATTTCCATTATTCGGCTTGATGACCGGCACACTCCGATACTCCTTCGCCTCGACGCTATAGTTTGCAAAAGCCGGCATCTTCCTTACGGGCGCAAGCACCTCACTGATATGCTGGGCGATGTTGAGCAGCTTCTCCTCACTGAACGGCAGGCCCAGGATCTCCATGCCGATAGGCACTCCGACAGGCGCATCCTTGGAGGGTGGCGAGAAGCCCGCCGGTACCACGAGCACGGGGCTCCCCGTCAAGGCGGCGAGTATGCCGTTGCGGCCTGACTGAGACGGGGAGCCGATCTTGACGACGAGGTTCTTCTGTTCTGGATATATGATTGCGTCGAGATTGTTCGACACGAAAGTCGCTCGCAGGGTCATGGTTAGGTTGGTGATGCCCCTCTGCTTGGCGATGTAGCTCGAGTTGCTGGTCGACGAGACGAACGCGGTGTTGACGTAGGCGTACTGCGAAGGGATGACGAGGAACTTGCCGCTGGTGTAGAGCTCGTTGAAGGTCTTGGCGTGGTCACCTTCTAGCTCTGGATTGGAAAGATAGGCGTTCAAGAGCTCACGGTACTCGCTGGTCTGGACATCTAGTTGGGCGCTGATTGTGGCAGCGTTGTAGACAGATTCGGTAATGTTAACTAGTTCCACGCCTGCGGAAGCTAGCGAGGAGAGGACGTCGGACATGACGCTGATCACGGGCGTTGTCTCTGCGGAAGGGGTGTTGTTGAAGAAGCCTTCGAGGACGCCGATGCGTAGGCCCTTGAGGCTGCCACCGTACAGAGCGGCTGAGTAGTCTTTACCCCATACCTCAGGGGGTGCAAGCGCGGTATGGTTGTCTTTGGGGTCGTAGCCGATGCCTGCCATGACGGTGAGGGCGGCGGCTAGGTCCTTGAGGTTGCGCGCCATTGCGCCAATGGTGTCTTGAGTGTAGCTGATGGGAATGACACCGACCCGGGTGATCAGACCGCGTGTTGGCCGGAAGCTGAAGAGCGAGTTTGCACTGGCGGGACTACGCAGACTGTTGACCGTGTCTGTTCCTGTGGCGAAGACTGCAAGGCTGGTGCCCATGGCTGCGCCTGATCCACCGGAGCTTCCTCCTGGTGTGCGAGTGTGGTCGTACGGATTGACAGTCTGTCCGCCCAGGGATGATACGGAGAGACCTTCCAGAGCGATCTCATGGAGGTTGGCCTTGCCAAGGATGATGGCTCCGGCCTTCTTGAATGCTGCCGCGGCAGGCGAGTCAGCTGTTGGTCGGCAACCGGCCAAGCCCAGACTGCCACCGGTAGTGTTCATGCCGACAGCATCGTAGTTATCCTTGAGCAGAATGGGGATACAGAACAGAGGCGCTGTAACGTTGCCAGACGCGAGCTGCAGGTCCATGTCGTCCGCTATTGAGAGAGCATCCGGATTCAAGGCGATAATGGCGTTCACCACCGGGTTGAACTCCTCGATGCGGGCGATGAAGGCCGAGACCACGGCGCGGCATGTTGTGAGGCCACTGAAGAGCGCATTATGGACGCCTTCAACTGTTGCTTCCCGGGCGTCGAAGAAGTCAGAAGGCAGGGCTGTGGCGCACGCTGATGAAGCTGCCAGGCCGAGCAGTAATAGGGCTTGGACAGAAAGTCGCCGTACTGAGTTGAGGCCTGCCATTTTGAGAAATGCTCACCGCTCTCAACCAAGACGTTGGGTGATTAACATCACGGGCTCTTGGGCACTCTATATATCTCTCCTGCAGCTCCAATCTCCATAAAATCCTGGTCTCTATGAGGTCTGCATCCTGCCCCCAACGTGTATATACCGTATGGCTGTCGGTCGTTGTGAGCCGCAAGATCAGTGGAATCGCTTCCGAGTTCGTCATAACACCAGAGCTTAGACACTGCTGCCAAGGTCGTCGTCGTTAGCTCGTGACATCGCGCAGTAAACCCGGGCATTTCCTATCTGCCACGCCCACGGTTGGCAACTATGGCTCCGACGCTCTCGACTCGGAATCTGGCGTCCACAATTCCTTCTCTTTTTGGTGTTCCTGCGTCACGGCCGTCATGACATTTTGTTTTATCGTAATTGATCAACGCTGTGAACAAGTCCTAACTGCAGCACCGTTATCTCTTGGCTTCCAGCCTCCCGGTTCCTCAGGGCTCTCTCCCGAAAAGCTGCCGCAGCTAAGCTGTCGGGATGAAGTCACAGCCAAGCATCCTGCCAGGCAGCGTGGTGTAAAGTACCCCGCGATCTCGAAGAACTATCCGATTTCCGAAGGCCGAGCCTAGGGACATCACACGTCCAGAGGTACCAGTCTCGTCAAGCATGGGCTTTTGGCAGCTTGTCATTTGTGTACAGATAGGAACTTTCTTACCGCCTCTTACATCCCGCGGTTAGTCATTTAGACGGAGAAGGTGGTGTTCAACGTCAGGGTCTTCGGTCCAGAGTTGACCGCCCTGTCGGTGACGAGCATTATGATGGTGAGATTGTCTCCGCTAGAAAAGTGACCAGTCTGGTGAAGTCTGGTTTGAAGTCTACACTTGCTGTGTGAGATTACAAAAGTGGCCGGGAGCCCATATGATCAGACACCTTTTTGGGTGCTGTCAGAGGCCAGGTCTTGCTGTGCGGTCGAACATGGAAGCCTAGTAGTCCAACCCTCATCGCTGGCAAGTGCAGCTCGTTCGAACGTTTCTATGTGTTTGGTGTCTTGTCGTCAATATCACGTGTACCTGCTCCTGGAACATTTTCGGATGACAGTGAGCTTCTCCTGGGCACACTTGATCTGTCGAACTAGGAGCAAGAGCCTTCAGGAAGCGAGGCTCTCTGCTTGGACAGAGGATTGGGATCTTTTACCACTCTGGCATGCCTACCTTAAGAATCTCCAATCTCTTATGATGGGCTCTGGCGAAGCCTGTGGTCAGTCGCTCCTTCCCACGCGACCTCAATTGTTGTTTGCTCTTGCCGTTCGGTCACACGCAAACACACTCTTCGTCGGTACCTTACCCAGACAGCAGCAGAAGACCTGTATCTACAGGGTCACCTGTACCATCCGATGGTCCTATATAGGTCAGGTTAACGCACGCCAAAGGTAACGAAAAGAAGCCCTCGTGGGCCAGTGGTTAGGCCGCAGCTCTCCGGCATTCTCGTCAGGAAAGGCTGAAGACCCGGGTTCGAGTATGCGTGGGCGCGTTATTATTTCGAGATATCTTGGCTAACATCTACAACAGATCCCGGCGGGGGTTGGTATCGCCTCTTCTTTTTGCTATTGTTGTAGGTCCCGTCGTCAGTCATCTCGACGTCTCTCTGCTTTGTGAGTACGAAGGGCTGCTGCTTTTCTGGTCTGTTGCAGTTGGTGTTTCCGAGCGAAGATATGGCATTGACCAGATGTTCGTGGACAGTTGTGCTCCTTTTGCCTTGGCACTTCAATTTGTAGCAGAGTGTTGCTGTGTCCTCAAAATACTTGGTATATATCTGGGCTTCCCGTTCCGGTCTAAGTGAAAGCCTCAGATGAAGACTGCATTTTCGTATTGTCAGGCGTTTGGACAAAGAGACATAACAGCCAGCTCAGACCCCTCTCTCCTTATTTTGTGCTCTTGCTCGTATCTTTTGACTAAACTCGTGGACGTGCTGTTGCTTGGGATTATCTTGTGTACTTTCTCTTGAGTGTTCCCCCAAATATCCAACCGCCTTCTGCCTCTCTTCAGAAGGTCAGCCGGGACAGCGTAGTCGATGGGCAGGCGCGACACATGTCCCTTTGAATGGGGTCTTGCTGTTATCCCTTCGCGCCTTACTCTCTGCCATAGGGGAGTTGCGCACCTCTCTAAATCACCTGAGCCGCTGTGGGTTATAGCTGGATCTGGAACTGCCACAGCTGATGCAGCCACTTTTCCTCGTTGCGTGCGTGGATACCGGCAGAGGTTTAAGCTTGCAAGTTTCGGCAGTGTCGACGCAGCTTTAGCTCGGCACGGAAGGAACTTGTCATATTCGCTCAGGCCGAAGGTAAGGTAGCATGCTCCATCCCGACGGACATTCACTGTAAGGTACCGAGCCTCACAGCGACGTGCAAACAAGCCGTATGACGACCAATTCGCCAGGTTTCTTCTCAACAAACACGGGCGCATGGCCCAGTTGGATGACGGCCATGTAGAGTAATAGAAACTCGTCGGACTCCTACTTTAGAGCAGGGTACAGCCGAAGATTCAGGGTGCAAGTCCCTGCATGGTCGATAGTTCAAACCTCTCTTGGACAATTCTTTTTTTTTTCTCTTCCTTTTTCTACTTCATCTTGTACGTACCCCTTGCTCTACCATGCCATTAAACTGATAATTTCCGAACACTAGCGAACCCTTTCCCTTGGGCACTCCAGGAATACCATGCATGCAAATACAATCTTGTTAGATGTGGGTGGTCTTGCTTCTGCACTTGAGCTGACATCGCAGCACATCTACAGCCGACCTCGTACACTTCTCAGGTCACACAGCCTGCTCTGACCCGCAAGAGGCTCAGGTTCTGATACCTAAAAGGAACGTTGAACACTGCTAGGGCATGTAACATGCGATGTTGGACGTTGTGCCTTGTCATGAGGAATGCCGCATCAAACGCTTCCCGAACCTTCCTTACATTTCATTTCACTCATAAACCATAGATGATTTGTACTAATAACTACAGCTCCTTCTTCGCCGTGTCCACCCGCTTGATGGATCCTGGTGGCGTTTTGAGGCCGAGGAAAACGAACAGACAGACGCCAGCAATCCCGACAGCTCCTATCCTGTATGCCACCTCTCTCCCGGCCCACCAGTACACGCTCGTGAACAGAACGGGGCCTAAGCCTCGTCCAATCTGACCCCAGCTCCTCAGGATCCCCAGCTTGCCACCGCGCTCACCCTCGTTGGCTTCAAAGCTGCTGAGGGCGTTCAAGCCCGTCACAACCGTCGCTGAGGTGACCGCCAGGAAGGTCGCTGCGAGGTACAACCCGGAGGAGCTGGATATGCTCCCAAGAAGGATGAAAGCAAGCAAGCATGCGGCAACTCCTAGCCTCACCGAGGTGAGTGGAGGTAACCGGCGAGTGACGCCGCCCTGAAGGATGGAAGCGACAAGACCTACGTAGCCTAGGAGTCTCCCATTCTTGCCGGAAGTGTACGAGAAGAGATCGAACGTCATGAAGGGTAGGGAGAACTCCATGCCAGAGAAGAAGAGTAGGAAGGAGAAATGGACAAAGTTGAGCAAGAAGTGCGAGTTTGTCCGTGTCACTGGCGCAGTTTTGATGGATTGGCCTTTGGCAGCCGCCAACTTCTCCTCTTTCGTCCTTGTCAAAGCTGGGAGTGTTTCCGGTAGCGCAAAGTAGAGGTACACAGTCTCCGTGACGATAAGGAGAAGTGAGACGCCAGCAGCGGTCGCAAACGGGTTGGCGGCTACGGTGCTGATGGTACTGAGCCAGGCGCCTAGAGCCGGGCCAAACGTGAAGGCGATGGAGAAGCAGGCGCCGATAAGAGCCATGGTGGAGCCGCGGCTCTTCTCATCCGATATGTCTGTTGCGATGGCTGTCGCGAGCTGGACGTTGCCTTCGGACAAGCCGCCGATGACGCGTGATGCTAGGAAGGTTCGGAAATCGGTTGCGCCCACCCAAAGAAGGACAGACAAAATGTTGCCTGTCATGCTGGCCAGGAGGGCGGTGCGGCGGCCATAATGGTCGGAAAGGTGGCCGATGATGGGTGATGCGACGGCCTGGAGGAGGGAAAACAGACTCCCCAAGGCTCCGCCCAATAAGACAATGTCATATCTTGATTCTATGGGCCGAGCGAAGGCAGATTTGTAGGCGTTGAGGTAGCTCAGGATGTTGGACAGGAGGGTTGCAGGCTGGTCTGTGGGAGAGCCGCTCAGAGGGGCTTCGACATTGCGGTAGAACTCGAGGAGTTTGGGGAAGAGGGGGAGTATGAAGGTAAAGGATATCTAGAGGCACATAATTAGCCAGGTAGTTCTTATATGGTAGCGTGATAAGTTCCTGACTATACACACCAAATCCAGTAGTAGAGACACAAAGATGACTTTCAAGACCCTCTTTCTGGTCACGGCATCAACAGGAGGTGCCATGATTCTCAGAAACAGACACAGCAGTTCGCAAAGGCTATGTTGGCAAGAAACGATGATATTAAGACTGATATAATAGCACAAAAGAAGATAGAAGATACAGAGAGAAAAGAGGGAAATAGTGCAAAGAAATGCTCAACACTCAATCAACTGTCCATATCTTGAGGCCAGCAAAACACCCGATCCAAGCTTGCCTTGCGGTTCCAGCTATCGAGCTGCAAGGGACAGCGGCTAAACAGGGGGTCTTAGTCTAGCGCCTCGGTATAGGCATATCCGGGGATCTGAGCGATCGCTATGCATCAAGCCAGAACACTAAAAGCTGGCTTCGACCCACATTAACCACTAAACTCACGTCGCGACAAGGCTGGACAACATTGCCATCACCTCTTCGGCCGTCACCCGTCTGATGTTGTCGGCACAATTGCGAAACACATTCCCCAAGCAGTGCAAAGCTTCTCGTGACTGACTCATCCACGTCACCATTGTGTGCTGTTAAGTTTGCCTTCGCAGACTTCCTCGGTCCTTGTATTGGTGTCGCCGCACCTGCCAACATGGCACCAGTACGTTATGACTCTTCAGTCTTCCTTCACTCTGACCACCTGCTGACCCTCACTGTCCTGCTAAATAGTACCGTACCGCCACCACAACTCGGCGTGGAAATCGTAGTGGCTATCCCGAGCACGATGACTTTGAAGGTAGAATGGCCCCATACTTGCGATGTCCTTCTGAACATGCCTCCTCTCAACCCTTGATCGCTCGTCTTTGGAACCATGAACTTGCGAATTGACAAATACTTTAGGTTTGCCTGTGCGACAATGGCGCCTGCAAGAGGTGGACATAGCTCCTCCTCCCGTTCCGACAACCGCCCAGAAGAACGACCGATGGAGCATCGAGTTGCCCCACGGCATGCCCAAGGACTATCACCTCCTTCCTCCCCACTCCCAGGAACTGCTCCGTGCTGCACGATCCGGTGCTTTATATAAGCGGAAAGCGCCGCCAGAAGAGGAGGATGCCATCGACATTGTAGAGAGCTCTGGTACTGCAGGAACGGGGTTCGGGCTTGGAGCCAAGATCGGTGTGGTCGGCGCCCCAGGACTTGTTGCCGACGCCGAGAAAACTGGCGATAAAAAGGCTTCCACTACCTCCAAGTCTGAACCTGGAATCAAGGTCAAGGTGTGGAGGCGTGTCGCGCGCGATGCTGAGGTACCCTCTCACTCGTATCTCGCGAAACGTCACAAAAACACCATCACTCTCCCGTCGAAGGCTTCTGCGACACAATTTTCTGGACCGACTGTCACTAGGGTTACAGTCCGCCGTGTGGACGCTGCTGGCAACGCATACGAGCAGACCATCACCATTAATGACGACGAACAGTTGAAACACTTGGACGGTGAGATTGTGACTACAACAGTTATTGCGGCACCGATAGCCGCGGATCCTCTTGCGCAGCAGCAGCCTACGCCTACCCGGAAACGCCCGCCCCCTCCACCGCACAAGAAGAAACACAAGGGTCCCGGTCGTGGCCGGAAGAAGAAGCTCGGTGTCGGCCCTCTGCCTTTGCCTCTGAAAGCTGGCCCTCCGACAAACTCTGCGGGCGCTCCAGAGGGTGCTGTAAACCCGAAACCAGAGCCTTCTGCTGGAACAGACGTGAGTTTAATCTGAATCTGCATCGTGATTCATATGGACCGACTCATTTGCTAATACTCCATAGGAGATTAAGCAAGAGGACACAGGCACTCCCGATGTCGAGATGGGTGAGAATTCTGCTGTCGCTTCAGACGACGAAGATGGCGACGACGATGAAGGCGACGAGGGCGAAGACGGTGAAGCAAACGAGGAAGGTGGTCGTAACGAGGGGCAGGGCGAAGATGCCATGGGCGACGCAACCGGGCAGGGAACCCCTAATGACCATCAAGATCACGAAATGGAAGATGCAGACGGGACGCTGGAAATTGTTCAGCCGAGTTCGATAGAGGAACCAGCTGAAGATGGTCGACCAGCCGAGGCGGAAACAGAAGTCATCAACACACAGCAACAACCCTCAAACTCGCTAAACCTTGGCGCTTCTCACCTTGGTGTGCCGCACCTTTTCTCACCGAGA